TGAACTTGACAAATCATTTCACTGCTTGTGAAACTCTAGGTTGACAGTCTCTCTCGGCACTTTTATGACCCTGCCTTATCATCTTCTGACTTCCATTAAGGTTGTAGAGAAGTTGGATGTCAATTTAATTGTCTGTCTTGTGTAACAGTCTTGTCTCCCCTATTGCTTCAAGATATTATCTTTGTGTTTGGTGTTCTGCAGGTTCACTACCACGGATCTAAAGGGTGGCTGGGAGGGTCACCTGTATTTCTCAACTTTAAGAGACAATAATGACATTGGGGCCAATGCGCCGTTTTCCAGGAAAGGGAACTACCATAGTCATTCTGAACCCACGGCACCAAAGGAAGGCTTGCCAAAATCGTACTTCCTTCTCAAGATTCTCCCGTCAGCCATGTGAGCAGCTTTCTCTACAATAAAGCCCACATCTGTCAAGGTAGGCCTCAGGAGGAAGAGGGTCCCAGAAGCTGGTGTGGTAAGGAGAAGGGGGTGTGAACGTTCCTCTCTGTAGTTCAGTTCTGTGAAGGGCTAAGGAATAGTGAGTAAATGTGCTCCAACATTGGGTGACTGCCTGGCTCCATCGGCCCGGGGACGATGACACCATATTGACATCGCTGTGCGCATGGCTGCTCTGGCAACGACCTTGGCCGCTAGTTACTCTGGGGGGCGGGGGGGGGGCTCTCTAGGGGAAAAGATTGGGTCACACAACAGTCATGAAATACGACTCTTTTGGTGTTACCTCCAGTCCTCAAACTGGCTCTGGGAAAGAAGGTGCTTTACGGGCTCAAGGATTGGCCCTCCCAGCTAGCACAGAGGCCTCCCCTTATGCTTTCCGTGCTATGGAAGCAGCCTTTCTGCTCCTTTTGCATCCCAGACCACAGGCAGGCGTAGCTCAGAGCTCAGGTCTTTCTACTGTCCTAGAATGAACCAGTCACCCCCACAGCGCCTCCACCATCCACTATTTTTTGTCCTGGTCGTAGTGGGTGTAACGACAGGAACCAGTTAGCAACACCTGTGTATCCACAGAGGCGTCCCTATGGGGTATTCCCTGCTATGATACCCATTGGACAGCTGGGAACACTGAGGCTCTGACTAGTCACGTGGCCCTTCAGGTTTGGAAGCAGCGTAGCCGTCCTTTCTCTTTGTACTTTACCACAGTAGAGTCAGGACCCCAGACTCACCTCCACGGGCCTTTCTTGGCCTCCCTCATCAGGCCCAGGCCATTCTTTTTCCTGTTCTTCCTGCGACCAGATGTACCCCTGATGCTCATACACACCCCACCCGGGTCAGCCACGGAACTGACTGCTCGGGTGAAACCAGTCTCCTTTTTTTTTTTTTTTTTTTTTTTTTTCCAGTGGAAAACTACCTTGACCTTTAAACCTGACGTCCATTATTACCTGATGAGGCCAAGCTGGCTCTGGCCTGAGACCAAACAAGACGGTGACCCATCAAGTGGGTCGCTTCTTTGCTGGCCATTTCTCCTGCCCGGTGGTCTCTTTTGTAACTTGCTCTCCTCCGGCCCACGGTCACCTCAAGACTGATTTTAGTGAATAAAACTACAGACTTGGCGACAGTTGGTGGTTTCTGCAAAAAGCTTGTTTAGAACAGAGAGAATCCGGGGAATCCAAGGCCCGGACGAGTTCGGTCAGGTTAGAAAATGCAGCGTGGCAAGTCGGGCCGCCAGCCCTAGAGGCCTGCAGGGAAAGGGCGACCCATCTTTCTGCATCTGGCTTGCTTTCTTGTGTTGGACAAGTCTGCACAGTTCAGCCCCAGACACAACCTCTGGGTGCATAACAGTAATCGTCCCTGCCAACTGAGCGCTTACGGGGCTCCTGGTGCCGTGCTGAGCACTTAACACACATCCGTTCTGGGCTGTAGCGGGGTAAGCCGTGGCCCCCAAAAGACGTGTCCACACGCCAGTCCCTGGAACCCGTGAATACGACCGAGTTTGGAAAACACGACTTTGCAGATGCAATTAAGGATCTCAAGGTCTTGCTGGATTATCCAGGTGGGCCCTACGTGCAATGCCGAGAGTCCTCGGGACTGATGCAACCACGAGCCAGGGCACGCCTGCAGCCACCAGGGGCTGGAAGAGGCAAAGAGGGCTTCTCTTCTAGAGCCTTCGAAAGGAGCACGGCCCTGCCGATTTTGGTCTTGGATTTCTGGCCTCCAGAATGGTGAAAAAATTTCTTGTTGTAAGCCACCCAGTTTAAGGCAAACCGTTGCAGCAGCCCCAGGTACCTTCATGAGTTCTGCAATGGCCCTAGGAAATAGGGACTGTCACCATCTCCCATTTCATAGATGAGGAAACTGAGGCACAGAGCTCAGGCTCCTCGTCCAGGGTCCCAAAGGCAGGAGAAAGGCAGCGGCAAGATGAAAAACCAGGCAGAATGACCGCACGCAGAGACCAAGCTGCTAGCAGCGGTCCGCACCTGTTCTGCTGGAACGTACCTGAACTAAATCGGCATTCTACCTGCGATTTGCAGGAGGGAGAAATGAGACAACCACGGGGGAGTTATTGGGGGAACAAAGCGCGTACGGCACATTCAAATTTACAAGCAGCTCCTGTACGCGTTACTCTGCTTCCTGTTCGCAGCCGGCTGGAGCAATGGCTGTGTGATGCCCATTCTCCCGACGCAGGCATTGATACGGGGCGGGGCGCCCCCCCCCAGACATTGCTCCTCTGAGCTAGCCCCCAGCCTGGCTGAGAGCAGCTCTGGGGGTGTGGTGACATGGCCAAGGCCACGCGGCCTGCCCAAGTGAGGCTGGGACTCAAGCCTTGGTTTTCTTTTCTGTAATATTTACTAATTTATTTTGAGAGGGCGCGCACGCACCCGCATGTGAGCGCGGGGAGGGGCAGAGACAGGGAGGGAGAGAATCCCAAACAGGCTCCGTGCGGCCAGTGTAGAGCCGGGTGCAGGGATGGATCTCACGGTTCATGAGGTCGTGACCTGAGTCGAAATCAAGAGCCAGACGCTGACCCAGCTGAGCCACCCAGGCGCCCCAGGCCTTGGTTTTCTAACTCCAAGGGCTGTGTTTCTGTCCCGCAGAACAAGAATTAAGCTCTGTTGTGCAGATCATAAAAGAGGATGGGCAGAGGGCAGGAGACACCGCGAGCCCTGGAGAAAGTGTTGGCGGCAGCTCTGGGACAATGGGGCTGTGCTTTGAAGGCTGGAAGAGTTTCGACAGGTGGAGCTGGGGCAGAAGAGACAGACTGGCTCCCCGTGTGGTGTAGCAAGGGCCGGGGGACAGGAAGGAGGCCGGGAGCCAGGCTGGGGAAGGAGACCCAGCTCTGTTCTGCAGCGTCCCTTCTCTCGAAGCCCTCTCCCCATTGACAACACCGCAGACCTGAGCCATCAAAGACACGCCGGGCAGTTCCAGGGCTTTCTTCATTCATCAAAAGTCAGACGGGAACTCTGCAAGGCAGATCTGTAATTGGGGTGGGTCACGCCAGCGCCCACAATTTTATACATTTGTGGGCTCAGGGTCAAAGGCTGGCTATCTGACTTTCTAGGCTTTGAGGCAGCGTTCATGGACACGAGGCATCCTTCTGTTGGTTCTCAGGAGTCTGTTTCTGCGTTCCGAGAGCTGTGTGTTCTTGTAAGCACTGTTTTTGAAAGGGAACGATTGCTGGTGTGAGTTTTGAGAATTCTCTTCTGGACCTTTAATAATCTCTTTCTAGAAAAGCTTTTCCTTTCTATTGTTTAAGGTCTGCCTTCACCCCTGCCTCCCTGCCCAGGGTTGACAGTAAAGGGAGGCTTTCCTGAGATGCAAGGGGGAAACACTGTGGGGACGGTCCCGGCGGGGGGACGAGATCTCGGGGTTCTAGTCTTTGTTCTGTCTTTGTTTGGGATAGTGAGGATGAACTTGGGTGCTGGAGTCGAACAGACCTTGGTGCAGATCCCAGCAAGGCTCTGCTGGTCTGTGTGGCCTTGGCCAAGTGGCTTAACCTCTCTGAGGCTATATATATTTTTTTAACGTTTATTTATTTTTGAGACAGAGAGAGACAGAGCATGAACAGGGGAGGGGCAGAGAGAGAGGGAGACACAGAATCTGAAGCAGGCTCCAGGCTCTGAGCGGTCAGCACAGAGCCCGATGAGGGGCTCGAACTCACGGACCATGAGATCACGACCTGAGCCGAAGTCGGCTGCTTAGCCGACTGACCCACCCAGGCGCCCCTCTCTGAGGCTATAAAAATAGGAATAATAATAGTATGTAAGCCATGGACTTGTGGTGGTTATGCAGTGAGACAATGGACCCAACACAGTGCCTGGCACCTAGTGAATGTTCAGTACACGGTCATTACCATAGCCCTGAACCCTTACCTCTCCTTCCTTCTCCAGCTCCACTCAGCCACACCGCCCGGCTAGCACAAGTGCAACCCTCTTCTCTTGTGGGTCCTTATTTCCAGAATTCTTGTCCCTTGGTTCCTTCAAAGCCTGGCTGCTTTTCATCCGCAGATTGGAGGAAATGTCACTTCTACACAGCGCTGGTTCCTGACCCTTCCTCTCTACGCCCCTCCCCCACAGTCGCTGACAATGTAGTTGGTTCAGTCACCTCTTACTGTCCATGTGCTCCTCCGGGCAGGCAGGCACCCCGCTTTTCCACCCCTGTTGCACCTCCGCCGCCCACGCAGGAATTGTGGCGTTATAACAGTTGTGGCAATGAATATTCAATTATTTGCTGGTTTAACGTTACCGATGTCTGATGCTCGTAAAAGAAGCAGGCCCCTATGAGGTTGATTTTTCCATCAGAAAAATGAGGATGTTGGAATAAAAGACTGAAACATATTCTTCCCCAAGTTTCCCATAAACTTGGGAATGAACTCCGTGGAACTAGGGAGAAAAGGCAAGGAGCTGTTTCAGAAACATGGCCTGTTGCTGCCCTCTAGTGGCCAAGATGAGTATGAGTGTAACCGCATCATTTCCTCCTTCCCTCCCCCCGCCCCCCACCGGCCCCATCCCCCTTGGTTTTCTAGTTCCACCCAGAACTGGGAAAAGCATCCCACTCTCAGAATGAAATTTCACAAAGAGGGGGAAAAGAATCTTTGAATGCTCTGCTAGGGCTCTCTTGGGCAAAGAGAAGGGGCCACCGTTTCTTCATTAGGGTACACGCAGTGCTCAGCCCCGGAGCCTGAGAGTAAGCGAGATATGGCAGGGAGGGCGGCGTCGCACTGGAGCCCCCATCTGCTCTTGGGTGAACCAGGGCGTGGTTGGCTCTCTTAGGCTTAATTGTCTCTACCGCACACTTGTACGGTTAAATAACGTAAAGTGCCTGGCATGTGATAGGTCCTCAGTAGAAGTGCCCGCTTGGCCCTTGATTTATTTTGTGTGAATGAAATGCAATTACATACATAAAGGAAAATGTCACAGCCCAGAAAAAAGCCAGCCATAAACGGTGTCTAAATGCACAGGAAGCAGTGTTGTATCTTGGGGACCATCCTGGACTTGCCAAGAATTTTAGGATCTAGATTTATTAGCCTTGACACAGACTAGCTGGGCATCCCCACTCTCGACCTCAGCTTTGTTACCTGTGAAATGGAAAGTCGGATGCTAGAATCCTCTAGAAGGCATTCAGCTTCCAGTAACTGAAAACCCACTGATTAATGCCTCAACCCAGGGATTAAATCCGGCTTGCCACCTGCTTTGGTGCAGCCCATGACCTGAGAATATCTTTACAGTTTAAACAGTTTTAAAAAACCCAAAAAGGAAATATTTCAGGACATTTGAAAACTATATGAAATTCAAAGTCCAGTTTCATCAAGTTCTGTTGAAAGCCAGTCACAGTCCCTCGTTTACATATTGCTCATATGTGCTTTCCCACTACAACGGCAAGGTTGAGTCGTTGACTTGAAAAGCTGAAAGTATTTACTGGCTGGCCATTTACAGAAAAAAATTTCCCACTCCCGTCATAACCAGTAAAGGTATTTAATGATCTCACATAAGAAGAAACTCAAAAGGACACGACTCTCGGTCTCCATCCCTGAAGTTCTCTTGGCCTTTTCCTCCTGGTCACCAGATGGCAGCTTCAGTTCAATGAGTTACAATCTACATCGAATACAGTAAAGAACATGGAGAAAAGACTTGCTACGGCTTTTTTGGCCAGGAAAAAAAAACAAAAAAAAAAAACCCCTATGGCACCTTCCCTTTTCCCATTGGCCAGAGCTAGGTCACATGACAAACCCTGGGTTCCCTCACTGGGAGGGGCCAAACTGCGGTAGCCCAATGGGGCTGCAAAGGACTCACTTTTCTCGAGAAGTGGGGACAAGGGCCATTTATACGAAGCCAGCGTCCTGGTCGCACAGAAGAAAGAGGGCAAAGGGCATGGTGTCAGCCCGAGTCACAAAGGCGCCTTGCACCTCTGGGTAGACGCAGGATCCTTTTTAGAACTCAAATCTGAGCGCTCTTTGTTGACTTGAATCCACTCCGGGAACGCAGGGTGTGTTTGTGAGTGACTTCCTACATTTAGGATTGTTTGACCTTCCCTTCCTCCTTTAAGTTTTGCTTGGTTGGTTTGGGGCATTGCTATGAATGATGTTTCCCGATGAAAGTCCTTCCCTGAGGCCCCACCTGTGCCTCCAGGTAGGAGAAGGTCGAGGAGTAGGCTGGCGGCAGGAGAATTTCCCAGGGCACCGTCACCGTCCAGCCAGCTCACAGCTGAACCCAAACAGAGGGAGCGCTCCCCAGGACGGTTAGACTGAAGTCCTGCCCAGCCTCGGAGAGAAGGGGCGAACGCCTGAACTGTTTTGCAGAAATGCATCCTGCAATGCGGCTACTGTTCTACAGAGCCAGGGGGAGAGGAAGCAGAGCTTCAAGTATCAAAAGGGAACAATTTTGAAGGTGAGTCGAGAGGCAATTTCATAAGGACTTCAATCTGAAATCATAGCCTCCTTGTTGTTAGATAAGGAGTTGCAGTTACAGACACAAAGGGAAACGTCAAAGAAATGGAAGGGAAACTGAAAGAACTCGGGCAGCAAATAAAAATTGGGCCAGAGGTCCCAAGAGAGGAGCCGGCAGGAGAAGGCAGGTGGTGGCTTAGAGAGAAAATTCAGGAGAGATGTGATATTACAGTGGTCCCGAGAAGGAGCAATGTCCTTGAGCTATGACCTCTTCTTGATTTGGGGGTGGGTTTTCTGAGGGAGGATGCTTTTTGAACATGCTGCACCTGGGGGCTTTTATGTGCTAAGGGAAAACAGTGAAACAATTCAAGTTCTTCTAAACCAGGAGGAGTGGGGCTCCTTCCTGACCATCAAGACTCAAGGAGAATCAAAAGACTCAATCAGAAGACTCAGCTTCATCTGGAAAATGCAAATGTTATCGCACGCACAGCTGACTCAGCACCTATCCCGATTCCTTTCCAGGCTTCCTGCCTGTACATCTGGAAAGCTGGAAAGCCAGTTCCCTGGACTCCTCTGCATCGGGGACCCACGAATCCATTGTGTTCACTCGGGACTCAGAGGCGGACATGAGCTGTGGAAGAAGGTGGCCGCAGGCTGGGAGAGTGGCCTTTTTGAAAAGCACAGAGACAATGTATCTGGTCTTGGGTCTTCCGGGGAAATACAGGATTTTTGCACATTCAGTCTCAAACCCCGTGGGTGGCAATTTGCAGCTGTGAGCAACGGAGGGCTTTCTGTAAACACAGTGGGCTGGAGCATTTGGGGGTTCTGTTGACCCGAGGGTCGTCCAGTACTCTCCTGGGTCTGAGTAGCATTCAAGCTTGGTTCTTTGGTCATGTCCAAAAGTCCGTAAGGAACCCAGTAAATAAACTTGAATAGATGCCTTTCGGTGTGAGTTTGCTAATGTGGATTCTGTTGCCTGCAACGAAGGACCTGGACCTAAATCCCAAGCAAAATGTTAGATCGCTGCCGGGCCCCTGGCAAATTCTCACCACACGTTAGCGAACATTCTGTGTTACTTGAATGTCATGTGGAGAGAATGACCTATCTGCTCTGGCTCAGCAGCACATGTGTGAGAGGCCAACGACTTCTCTCCAACGGAACTGAACTCTCCAAACCCCTCTGTCCTGGGAGTGAAACTGAATCTTGCCAGTCTGAGATGAACCGTCAAGGTCATGTTTTCTCAAGCTCAGTCAGCTAAGGCTTCTTCTCCTCTCCCCTCTGACATGCTCTCCCGTCATCCATGGCCTGGGGGGCACCCATTTCTCCTCCTCCTCCGGTTCCATCCGATGGGGCGTGCAAGGCTGGTGTAAGGTGCCTGGTCTGTGTGCTAACCCCTGCCACGTAATTCTGCACTCACTGCTGTGACACCTGCCCCACTCTGCTTCCTTAGGTCCCCAGACATCACTCTGTATCCCCTCCTCCTATTGCCAGGCCTCTCCGGGTTCCCCAACCTGCCTGATTTGTGTCCCCCCCCCCACTGGGATCCCAGAAAGCTCTTTCTTGCCACTCCAGAGCAGGCGTTCGGGAAGGGAGGCATCTTTGCCATTGAGGCACTTTGCCGGGCGCAGAGACCCCAGGAAGGGGTTGCACGTTCTCTATGCTCTAGGGTCTCCAGCCCTCCGCCACCAGGCCTCGCTGCGGGTCCTCTGGTGTCATCCACAACTCTCCCTCCCACCTCCTCAGCTTGAACTTTCATCTTCTTTTGAGCAAGAGCATAGCTCTTTGACCATGGAACATTCTTTCCCACCCTACAGTGTATCATATAAAACCTCTGTTCTGAGTTCTCCAGACGCTTAACTTGATGGATCTCTGAGAACAATGTTTTCTTTCCGTGGAAAAGTTCTGTTTTTTTTTTTTTTCCCTAAACGTATTCAAGAGTTTCTTCACCAAATATTTGCGGAACACTCACTGGGGTCAGGACTTTGGGGGGTGGGGCGGGGTGGGGATGGGAAGGCAGAGTGGACAGACAGACAGCTTGTGTTCTAGCTGAGGGAGATGAGCAGCAGACACATGCATAGGTCAATTGCGTGTTTATTCCCAGCAGTGACCATGCTCTGCAGAAAGCAAAAAGCGGTGATGAGACAGGGTGGCTGGGCAGTGGGGACAGAGTGGTACCACGCAGGCACTTGCACTGGGACCTGAAAGCCAAGAGGAATCCCTCCAGGAGAGAGGGTCAAGTCGAGGCCCCTGAATGGAGGGACAGCATGTGCAAAAGCCCTGAGGCCAAGGGATGAACTTGGCCATGGTTAAGGATAAGAAAGAAGGCCAGCGGGTCTCTGGAATGGTGGGAAGACTGAACGGGCCGCTGGGCCAGATCCTTGGGCCTTGTGGAAGCTGTGCGGTTTTCCCTTAAACCTTGGAGGGTCTAAGTAGAAAAGTGATTGGCATGTTAAGAAGACCGTTCTAATTGCTATAGGAAAATAGTCAGTTGCAAGAGGCTGAGGGAGGTCGGGGCAGCAGGGAGAAAGTGGCTGCAAGAACCCGAGTCCTGGTCTGGACTCAGATGAAGATTGGCAAGATGTGGGCGGATTCTGGAGGAATTCCGGAGGGAGGCTGTGGGGCTGATGGCATGGGGCTGGGATGCAGAGGCAGGGGGACCGAGGATGAGGCCCGCATACGAGACCTAGACCCTGGAGAGCCCCTGGGATGACTGGAAGTTTTGCAGAAAAGGCAACACTTAGGAACTAACCCAATGTACTTCTTACAGAAGAGCTGTGTGTGTGTGTGTGTGTGTGTGTGTGTGTGTGTGTGTGTGTGTTGGATGTACAAGGCAGACCTCCTCTGTCTCATTAGCTCGCCCCATTGCCCAGCGGGTTGAGCAGGGAGCAGAGGGTAGCACTCAACACCAGCCGGATTCCCCAGGCTTGGCCACTGCAGCCACTTCCTGCCCTCACCATGCGCTCACCACACATCAGTTCAAAGCTGCACCAATCTTAAAACAGAGTAATTCTCAAAACAACCCTATGAGATAAACACTGTTAAGAATCCTCATTTTAGGAGCGCCGGGTGGCTCAGTCGGTTGAGCGTCTGACTTCCGCTCAGGTCACGATCTCACAGTTCGCGGGTTCGAGCCCCGGGTCGGGCTCTGTGCTGACGGCTCAGAGCCTGGAGCCTGCTTCCCATTCTGTGTCTCCCTCTCTCTCTGCTCCTGGACACCCCCCCCCCTCAAAAATAAATAAACATTTAAAAAAAAAGAATCCTCATTTTATTTTTTTTTTTAATTTTTTTTTTTCAACGTTTATTTATTTTTGGGACAGAGAGAGACAGAGCATGAACAGGGGAGGGTCAGAGAGAGAGGGAGACACAGAATCGGAAACAGGCTCCAGGCTCCGAGCCATCAGCCCAGAGCCTGACGCGGGGCTCGAACTCCTGGACTGCGAGATCGTGACCTGGCTGAAGTCGGACGCTTAACCGACTGCGCCACCCAGGTGCCCCAGAATCCTCATTTTATACAGGGGGAAACCGAGGTTCAAAAAGCTGAGGTGGGGGAGGGGGCGCCCGGGTGGGTCAGTTGGTTAAGCATCGACCCTCAATTTCAACTCAGGTCATGATCTCAGGGTTGTGAGAACAAGGGCCACATCGGGCTCTGTGCTGGGCGTCAGGCCTGCTTAAGATTCTCTCTCCCACTCCCTCTGCCCCTCGGCCCCACTCACGCACATGCTCGCACTCCCTGTCTCTCATAAATAAATAAATAAATAAATAAATAAATAAATAAATAAAGCTCAAGATCACACAGCTGATGGGTGGCAAAGCCAGGACTCGAACTCAGGCCATCTGATGTCAGAGTCCAGGCTTATTACCCACCTATTCTACCTACGGTAAGAGAAAGCACGGCCAGAGAGTCACCTAGCTTGTGTTCTTTTCAGTGCCTCGAAATATAAGGGCCCTTAGCAAAGTGCTGGCGCATAGTAAGTGCTCAATAAATTATGATAAATTATTTTTATGAGCAGCCAGGAACCAGCTAGGCTATGGCCTGCCTGAGCCCCCAGCAAAGGCTCTGCGGGAGGCAGAAAATGCATGTTCGGGAAGAAAATTGATTTACGTCAGATGCCAAGCAGTCAGAAATAACTGGCAGCAGAGGAAAGACCAGACAGAATGTGTAAGTCTCTCTGTTTCTCTTTACTTGTCACACTATTATAGTTAAAGAGAGAAAACTTAGCAGGAAAAAGAGCATACATCTGCCTACATTTTTCTAGATTTACATTTTTTTCACTTATTGGAAAAGGAAAAAAAAAAAAAAGACCAAATGTTAAAGACACGAAAAAAAATCAAAGGCAAGAAATATAGAGGAGGGGGGCGGGAATCAGGCTGGCAGCTATGTGAAAACTGGAAAGTGCAAAAGCAAGGAGCTGGTTTTAATTATCTGACACCCCTGTGCTGGAATTGATTACTGCTGTTGGGAGGAGAAACTGGGATGAAAGCAATCTTCAGAGTGTCATCCTCAAAAGTTTGGGGGGCGGGAATTCAACACAAAGTGAGCCGGTGAGGTGGGCGGGGAGGCGGACAACGTGGGAACCCCCTGGAGAAGACAGGCTGGCAAGCAAGCATTCCTGCCTGCAGGGGTGATGTCCCTGCAGTAACACAGATTCACCTTCAGGGGGCGATCGACTCCCCACACGGGGAAGCCCGGGCTGCTGGGCGACGTGGGAGATGGGGTGATGCTAGGCTGGCCTCACAGGGAGGAGGCAGAACAGATCCGCAACCCCAAAGGCAGGAGAATTCAGGCTGCCCCAGCAGCGCTCTCTCGGGTCAGGAGGACCTTGAGCGAGGCCGGCTGGAGTCAAAACCAGGCCGTGAAAGAGTGACGCACCAAAAGCCAAGGGGCCACTTGGGCCAGAATTTGACACACTTCAACCCAGCGACCCCAGAAGGGACTATTTGATGGTGATTGTTGCCCATGAAAATTGCTTTTCGGGGGAAATGACAGGCCCAGTAAGGAGGGAATGGCGATGATGCCCTAAATCAGAGGTCGGTAAACTTCTTTGGAAAGGGACAATTGGTAAATATTTTCGGCTTTGCAGGCTCTTGGGCTCTGTCGCAACTGTGTTGATATAGTGTGAAATTAGCCACAGACAATGGGTGAGCCAACGGGCATGCCTGTGTTTCACTAAAATTTTATCTATGGACATTCAAATGTGAATTTCATTGTTAAAAGAATGGAAAGAAGAGCCACAGACTGGGAGAAAATATTCGCAAAATACGTCCGATGAAGGAACTGGTACCCAAAAAATATATAAAGAACTCTCAAAACTCAACGGTAAGAAAAACAGACAGCCCTGTTAAAAAATGAGCATCAGATCCATGCAAACACCTCACCAAAGAAGATGTACAGAGAGCAGGCAAGCATACAGAAAAATAGTCAACATCCTAAGCCGTTGGGGAATTGCAGATTAAAACAACAAGAAGATACCACTGCACACCTGTTAGAATGGCTAACATCCAAACCGCTGACAACACCGAATGCTGGTGAGGACAGGGAGCCACAGGGATTCCCATTCTTGGCTCGTGGGGTTGCAAAATGGTACAGCCACTTTGGAAGACGTTTTGGCGGTCTCCAACAAAACTAATCATACTTTTATCATCCAATCCAGCAGTTGTGTTCCTTGGTGTTTGCCCCATGAGTTGAAAATTTATGTCCACATAAAACCTGCGTGCGGATGTTGATAGCAGCTTTTTTCATAATCGCCAAAATTTGGAAACAACCACGATGTCCTTCAGTAGGTGAACAGATAAATCAGCCGTGGGACATCCAGACAATAGAATCTCATTCAGCTCTAAAGAGAAGCGAGCTCACAAGCCATGAAAAGAGTGGAGGAAAGTTACATGTCTGTTACTAAGTGAAAGAAGGCATTCTGAAAGGGTTACATGCTACACAATTCCAGCTACATGACGTTCTAGGAAAGGCAAGACTATGGAGACAGTAAAAAGGTCTGCGGATGCCAGGGATTTGGGGGGAAGGAGAGAGGGACGAATAAGTGAAGGCTATGTCCACATGCAAAGGATTTGTAAGGCAGTGAAACTACTCTGTGTGATACTGTAACGGTGGATACATGCCGTTAATTTGCCCAACCCCCTGGAACCTACACCATCGAGTGAACCCTCGTGATTAACTTTAGTTAATGATAATGTGTCTATATTGGCTCATCTGTTGTAACAAATGTACCCCACTAGCGCAAGGTGATAGTCATGGGAGAACCTGGAGTGGTGGTAATTCTGTGCTTCCTGGGCAGTTTTTCTTCAAACTTAACGCGGATCCGAAGAACACAGGCTATTTAGAAACAAAGAAAAGTTGGGTTTCCTGTCATTTTCACGTGTCAAAACACATTCTTCTTCTTTGGATTGCGTCCCAACCACTTGAAAATGTTAAGACTCGCTTATAGCTTGTGGACCACATGAGGATAGGGGGCAGGGGATTTGGCCCACGGAAGGTATTTTGCCAACCTCTGCCCTCCGTGGTCATATTGGTGCAGATAAAACGCCTCTGAGAACTCGGGGAGAGTTGGAGGGCAGGGGAGGGAGCCGCTCCTTGACTGCCCATTTTACGCATGTCCCCCCTCCACCGTCACAGCCAACCCACAGGCTGGGAGTCGGTCCCCCACGTGAGGGGGTTGCAGACTCAGTGTGACCCTGGAGGCCAGAGGTAGAACAGGCGTGAGCAGGGATTCCGGAACGAGCATGCCTGGGTTTCACCTCCAGCTCTGCCATTGGCTGGCTCTGTGACCTCCCGCTGATGAGTGGATGTCCACATGTGGAGAACGGAGAGGACAGCGGTGAATGTCTCACACGGCGCATGTGTGAAGATCACACGTGGACTGTATAAGATCTCCAGTCCCGGGCACGGTTCCTGGCACATGGTCGCTGCCCAGATGGTTTTGGAAGGGAAGGAGAAAGGAAGAGAAGAAGAGACCGTGTAAGTCAGCTATTTCTACAATGCGGCGTAACAAAACTCCGTGGCTTAAAATCATAATCCTTTATTCTCATGCTCAAGGTCAGTGGGTCAGTTGCAGCCTAGCTGGGTTGGGCTGAACCCCGGGCTCCAGGCACCACCTTGTCCAGGCTGCAGGTTGGATTCCGATCCCCTTGATATGCCCTTCATGTTCCTTGGGCCAGTGGCTACTTGATGCGGGCAGTCTACTCTATGTGTCTCCCCCGCCAGAGCCCAAGTTGAAGAGTGGCGTCTACTTGGGGCACGACTTCTCATAGCATAAGAAGACGGGCCCAATGCCCGGGCACAGTTCAAGGGTGTTATCATGTCATGTCCACGAATTACCGTCACGTCCTGTCCGTTGACCGCAGCAAGTCGTGAGGCCAGGCCCATATTCATTGTCCCCGGTAGGTACTACAGAGCCAGGATCTTGTATCCCAGAGCCGATCTTGTCTCTGTCCCCCGTGGGCTCAGCGTTCCTAAGGTTCAGGGACTGTCTTTTATCTTGGACCCTGCCTAGCAGACCGGGTCTGGGAGGCCAGAGTCACACACCAAGGTGCTAGACTTCTTGTTGCGGAAGGGAAAACAGACTCAGATTTGGCCAAGCCAGCGTCCAGCTGGCTGTTCTGCACCGAGGAAGAAGGAGGACACGGCTCTCTGAAGCCAGGACAGAAAGCCACGGGCGGGGCAGAAAGGGTCAGATGAGGGAGGACAAGAGGGTCACAGCAAAGCACAGACAGGGCACCTGGAGTGGCTCCTTGCACACTGAATGTCCACCACAATGTGTCCCTCTGGGCAGCCTGCTGTCCTGCACGGCTCACGGACAGACTTTCTAATTTATTGTTCATCTAAAATAACTTACGTAGAATGTTCAGATTTCGAAAGCAACACCTAGTCTCTGGAGGAAAGCTAGAAAATGCGAGTAAGCAAAGCAGAGAGAAGAGAATAAAAATCCACTTATGATCCTACCGCTCAAAGACTCTTTATACTTGCTCAATTTCCCTCTGTCCTTTTCCCGAGGAGTGGGACTCCATCACGTTCCCATTTACAAAAATGGAATCATCCACTACATCCTGACTATAGCCTTTTCTTTCCTTCTGTGGCAACATATAATTGATTCCTTCCCTGTCACTAATCTACAATCTCCTTCTTTTTTTTTTTTTTTTCAGTTTATTTATTTATTTTGAGAGAGAGTGTGTGTGTGCGCAGGGGAGGGACAGGGAGAGAGGGAGAGAGAGAGAATCCCAAGGCTAGTGCACAGCCTAGTGCAGAGCCTGACGCGGGGCCTGAACCCACGAACCGCCAGATCACGACCTGAGCTGAAACCAAGAGTTGGACGCTTAACCAACTGAGCCACCCAGGCATGCCTACAATCTCACTCTAAATGGCTGTATAATATTCCATTGCGTGACCATGCAGGAGCCTTAATTTCGCAATCCTTTACTATTGAACCTTTAGGCTGTTTCCCAACTTTCATTATTCTAAACAACTCTGATTTTTGACTAAACATTTACCCACGTCTTCGGTCACTTACCTACATTATAGTTTTAAAGATAGGGTTACCTAATTAAAGGGTATGCCCCCTTTTTAAGGCTTTGATGTACAATGCTTAACTAACCCCAAGAAAAGTAGTAGTAAATTATACCTCAGGGATAGATATTTAAGGGTACCGTGGTTATCTTTATACACAGAGTCTAGAACAAAGCTTTGCACATAGCAGGAGCTTAATTAACATGCATGGATTGTCATTTGAGCACAATAAATCCGGACCCTCCCAAGCACACGATCAGCACTTCTGCTGCTACCTTGTGAGCTCTCAGACACAAAGCAAACGTTTACTGGTAAAAAATGAGAGAAAGGTCAGAGATCACGAGGAGGAAGAGGGACCACGCGTCAGGGGAGTCGCTAGTTAATAACATCCTCGGTCTTTACAGAGCACTTTCACGGAAACAGAAGTGTTAATGGTCCAGTTGCGAATCTATTTATTCCAATATAAATCAGAGTCTAAATTATTTAAAACGGCCCAATGTCACTATGCCGGGCAAAACTCATGGACATAGAAGTACCGGGCTCAGCGGGTAAAGACCATGCGGTAAGGAATTGTTGCAATATCCAACCTCAGAAGAAACCTGATGGAATTAGCACTGAGGAATACATACTCCCTCTTCAAGATCCAACGTAACCAGCCTGTGGAAAGCACTTCACAAAAGTGTGGGTGCAAAGATATGATCTGAGCTCACCCTCTAAGCTTTGAATTCTTCTTCTTTTTTTTCCCCCCTTACTTATTTATTTTTTTTTACAAATCCTGAGACTAGAGGGCTTGGTTCATTTTGACAGAAAAAGATAATCATTGAAAAACAGAAGGAGGTTTGGTTCAGCCTTATAATGGTGTCTGTGTTAAGCCTCACAAATGAGAGTCATATTAAACTGGATTTATACAGCCCTGACATCAAAGAAAGAATGAAAGAGAAAAATGTATTAAAGCAAAAATAATCTTTCTATACAGCATGACATTATGAACATAACTCCAAAAAATACCTTAAAATTAATCTGTGGATTAAAGCAATCTGAAATGCACGGGAAGAATACACGGACGAAGGGGGTGGGGGACAAACAAAATGAAACGTACTGACATTCTAAAGTCTCTTTTCATTGGACAACAAGTATTTTCAAAGAACACAAGGCTTTGTCCGTTATTAACAATTCATTTTTTACAAGCTACGTTCAATTTTGATCGTACACAATAATATGAAGAATCCTCTTTAGGATTACCTGCACAAAATTGCACAGAAAAAAACCATAAGATCCTATGACAGTTTCAAAGCCGAATTACAAATGTGTGCACCCAAGAGCAGATAAAAATGAGGGAGAAGGGAATGATTAAGTTTTCAATTTCCCCACAAGGACTTGATGTTAATTTCAACTCACTTATGTGCTGCTTTGTAGAGGATTATTAAAGACAACAAATAACCTGATGGTTTGATGATATGAAGGCTGTGGGAAATTATTTCCCCGGAAGATTGTCGCTTAGAAGTGGGGTCAGTTCCCAGTCACTCAGAGCCTCAGTTTCTCATCTGAAAACTGACAAATGACCACGACACCCTCCCCCATGGGATTAACGTGAGGATTTCAGTACATGATGAAATTTGAGTGCTGAGCACGCGGTAGGGATCCCCCCCACCGCCCAAAAAAGAGTGATTTTTTATTGACACAAGCATGGGAAAACTTTACTCATGAAGTGCCCGTAATAAAGATCATCAACAAGCCTAATATAATATACTTTTCTAGACTTTGTCTTTCCTTTTAATCTTTTCATGTCTACAATGCAACCAGTAATAAATTCTGTTCGATGTGTTCTAAGATGGGAGGCATCAACAAATAATAATTTTTATTGAGCATTTACTATGTGCAAGGTGCACTATATTATCTTAAGCAGTCTCCACAACAATCCTACGGAGGAAGCACTATTATTCATTATGAGTTTGACAGTGAAAAAAAAATGGAAACCTAGAGAAGTTAAGCAATTTTCCAAGTTACCGGAAGTGGCAAAAGGGTTAAGATTATGGGATCTGGAGCCAGGTTGCCTCAACTTCCCCATTGAGGGAAATTAGGATAGGTGGTGGGCTGTAGCCTATATGTGTATATATGGTGTGTGTGTGTGTGTGTGTGTGTGTGTGTGTGTGTGTGACAGAGATTGATTTTATTTTAAAGACGTGGCTCATGTGATTGTGGGGGGCTGGAAAATGCAAAATTTGCAGGACTGGCTGGCAAGCTGAAAATGCTAGAAGTAGTCAGTGCTTCCACATTGAGTCCAAAGGCAATCTGGACACAGAATTCCTTCCTCTCTGGAGGACCTCAGTCTTTTCTCCTAAGGCCTTCATTTGATCAGGTAAGAAGACCCACCTTTTGGAGGGTGACCAGCTTACTCGGTCTATTCAATGGTTATCATATCTAAAAAAAAAAAAAAAAAAAAAAAAAAAAGCCTTCACGGCAACATCTAGACTGGTGTTTAATCAAGCACTTGGGCACGACAGCCAAGCCAACTTCATCTATAAAATGAAAAACCACAGTGAGAATATTACCTTCTTCATAAGGCTTTGGGAGGACTGAATGAGACGGTGCAGGCATCGAACTTGGACATGTCCTCGTGGACAGAGCCTGGCATGGAAGCAGAGTCCATGGATGTTCACTAGTGTCCTTAAGCGCCAGAGTCATATTGGAACCGCGGTCACCTGCCTCCAGAGCTCATTGTCAACGTCTCCACCTGTTTTTTGTCCAATATGATAGCTACCAGACAGATGTGGCTACTAAGCGCTTGTAATGCAGCGAGTGTGACTAAAATTCAAATTTAAAAACCAAGGCAGGGAAAATGTTTAAATATTGGAACGATCCAGATTCCAGGATACAGCGAGTGAAACACAACGTGCCACCGAAGTTAACTTCACCGGTTACTTTTTTTCTTTAATGTGGCTTCTAGAAAAACTTAAATGACACAAGTGGCTTGCATTATATTTTTAATGGACATGTGCCTTCCTAGACCCTACCCGGGACAGGCCGAGCAGAACTAACACCACGCCGATGCATCTTCATTTCAGTGAGGCTGTCCAAATTCTTTCTTAAAAAATCTTAACGGTAGCACTAACCACGAAGGAAAAAAAACAAAACAAAACTGGACTTTATTTCAGTTAAGACCTTTTGCTCATTAAGAGACACAGTTAACAGAGTAAAAAGGCGAACCACAGATTTGGAAAAGAGATTTGCAACTCATACACCTGACAAAAGAAGGTTATCATATTGTTATATATAACGGTTTATATGTATATAAATTTATATAACGAATTCCTGCAAGTCAATAAGGAAAAGGCTTGCAACCCAAGAGAAAACCGTGTGGAAGATTGAACAGGCATTTTAAAAAGAGGATGTCCAGATGACCAATTAACACATGGAATGCAAATGCGAACATAATGGCTAAAATAAAAGTGACAGGAAACACCAAATGGCAAGAAAGACGCGGCACTGAAACCCTCACATGCCGCTGCTGGGATATAAATTAGTACAACCGTGTTGGAGGATTTTTTTTTTTTTTCTTATCCCTGTTTTCTAGTTTTCCCACTGAGAGCAAGCATGCGTCCCTCTCTGCCACCAAAAAAAAAAAAAAAAAAGGCAGTAAAATTGATCTTTAACTTAAAAAGTCAGCATTTCAAAATATATAAAATAATGAGGCAGAGAGAAGAGGGCCCTGGGCCCTGCCACGCTGGAAGGAATTGTCAGCAGTTAATTGAGCCGCAGGGAGACTTTTGAGAGCGGGATTGCAAACACGGTGAGCTTCACAAACGACAAAACGCAGTGCCTGATCTGTTTAAAGCAGACCCCGTGGGCTCCCTGCAAACTGCGGGGCGTTCTTTGAGGCCAGGAACCGGAGGGGCCCTGCCAGGGGCTTTGGTGAAAGCAGGGGTTTCCTGGGGGGCTACTTTCGCATGAAGTCATCAAGTGATTCTCTTTGGAGAACAACGTGTCTGTAACAAATGCCCCACAAATTGAGATCACTGAAAGCTGACATTTGCAAAGCTTTGCTCAGGCCTTTGATATCATGCTGTACCTTAAATCTAAGAGTTAAGAGTATTCTTGCCGGGCATCTGTGTTTGAAGTTCCTTGGCATGTTAAGCAGGGCATGAGGCCCCTCTGTAGCTCTTGATCGGGGGGAAAAGGAGAAATGATTGTCGTTAACATAAAACTCGGGGCACCGGGCTCAGCTCTCTGTCTGCCTTCAAAGCCTGCCGCTTCCAAGCTCCTCCAGTCTGTGGTTCTGCTCTCTGGTGATGTGCGAGCCTAGGGAGTTTTATCCTGGGTTCCACAGACCCCTACCATGTTTGTGGAGGGAGTTCAGGGGGTTCTTTGAACTCAGATGGGGGAAAAAAACCCAAAAAACATATTTATGGTCACTGACCTCCAACCAAAATTTTAGCACTTCAGTTTGAAAAGCAGCAACAAATTACGGTGATATTGCCAGTCCCCATTGTCATCCATAGAAATCAGGTATTTTCATATCACAGTTCCTGCATTTATTTTGAAATAAAGTCTATACTCTCGCTCATTCAAAATCAGCTATTAAACCTGCTGCTAGAATTTGCTTTGTAAGGCATTAGCCAAGAAGCATACATATTACTCTATCACAATTTTTAAAATATTTTGATAATGGTATCTCAATATAACTGTAATCTTATGTATCACCAGCATTTCTAAGTATTATTTGGAGATGCCCGCAGGCTTCACTAGACTGCCAAAGGGATTTGCAGTGTGACAGCAAACCCCTACCGGGGTTTGGAACCCCTACCAGGACCAGAAGAGGTGGGATTGCTTAGGGCAGGGACAACCATGTCAAAGGAGCTACACAGGGCAAAGGGGCTGGGCTTTGATTCTGGCACAGGTATGGTTAGATATGGCAAGGAGAGGCTCAACCCAACCTGAGTGCCAGGCAAACGAGAGAGTCCAGAATAGCCCAGGGGGGCACCCCTTCCTGCAGTAGCACAAGGCACAGTCAAGGGAGCCCCAGAGGGAAAGCGCCCTGCCCTTTAGGGAACCTGTGGTCATTTTTTGAGGATCCGACTTTGATTTTGGTCAGACCCGGCTTAATCCTGCCTCCATCACTCACTCTGGGCAACTTGCCTATTCTGTCATGAACCTCAGGGTCTCCAACTGTAAAATAGTCATAATAATACTTGCCCAAACATTCTGTTAAATAACTTATTTGTAAACATAAAGTTACGGAATGACGGGTGTTTCATTTATGAAAAATGTTAAGTGATGCCAAACAATGTTATATTATGTTTACAGGTAAAGACTTTAGGTAGTAAAACAGAAAACCATGCAGGAGAATGCTGCATCTCAAGTTCGAGTTGCTAGTGCTTAGTTTGGGGAGTGGAGGGAAATAGGTTTGGGAGGCATACAGGTGAGGGGGGAAGAATGAGAAACGAATCCATATGGCACTGGTTAAGACTTGCTGAAGTTCAGCAGTGGTTGGTTTTGATGTGCACGTTCCCTAATGAAACCATCATCACCCCCATCAACATCATGAACGTATCCGCCATCTTGAAAGTTTCCTCGTGCCCCTGTGGAATCTCTCCATCCTGCCTCTTCCCCATTTTCCACTCCCAGGTGATCGATGATCTGGTTTCCATCTCTACTGACTAGCTGGAGTCTTCTAGACTTGTTATATCATTGGAATCAACCGGTATGTACTTTTTTCCCCCTCATTTGGATTCTTTCTCTCAGAATAATTATTTTGAGACCCACTTATGTTGCGGTTGTGTCCATACTGGATTCCTTTTTATTACTGAATAGTAGCCCATTATATGGATAGTCTGTAATTGGTAGATCCCTTCCCCCAATTTACAGTCATTTGCTTGGGGCTCTTAAACGGGCTGCGAACATTTGTGTGCAAGTCTTTTATTTTTCTTGGGTAAACCTCTAGGAGTGGAATGGCTAGGTTACGTGGTAGCTGTGTGTTTGGCTTTTCCAGAAACTGCCAAAATGTTTTCCGTTTTGCGCCACTGGAAATGTACCATTTACCATTCCCACCAGAAACGAGAGTTCTAATTATTCCACGTGCTTTCCAGAACTTGGTATGATCGGCCTCTTTAATTTTAGTCAGTCCAGGATGTGTGTGGTCCTAGCTCATTGTGGGTCCTAATTTGCATTTCCCTAATGAATAAAGATAGGATGCGTCTGTTCACGCACTCGTCTGTCGTCCATGTGTCTTCTTTGGTGAAGTTTGCCCATTTTTAATTCAGTTACTTGTCTTGTTGAGTTGTAAGGGGTTTTGTTGTTGTTTTTGTTATGGTTGTTTTTTGTTTTAGTTTATTTTGAGAGAGAGAGAGAGAGGGTGTGCATGTGTGCACACGAGCGAGAGATGGGCAGAGAGGGAGAGACAATCTCAAGCAGGTTCTGAGCTGTCAGAGCGGAGTCTGATGGGGACTCCATCCCACAAGCCACGAGCTCGTGACCTGAGCTGAAGTCAAGAGTTGGACGCTCAACCGACCGAGCCGCCCAGGCGCCCCGACTTGTAAACTTTTAAAAATATATTTTAGGTAGAAGTCTTTTGTCAGACACATGTTCTGCAACCATTGGCTCCCAGTCTGTGGCTTGCCTTTTCATTTTCTGTGTGGTGCTTTCTGAAGAGCAAAAGACACAAATGAATCCCAATTTATTGATTTTTTTCCCAGTGTTTCATAGTTTTTGTGTTGCACTCAGGAAATATTTACCAAACTCAAACACGCTAAAAATGTCTCCTGTGGTTTTCTTCTGTAAGTTTTATAGCTTTAGCCCTTATATTTAAAAATTTTTTTAAGTTTATTCATTTTTGAGAGAGAGTGTGAGCGGGGGAGGGGCAGAGAGAGAGGGAGACACAGAATCCGAAGCAGGCTCCAGGCTCTGAGCCGTCGGCACAGAGCGTGATCCGGGGCTCGAACCCACGACCCGCGAGATCATGACCTGAGCCGAAGTCGGGACACCTCACTGACTGAGCCCCCCAGGCGCCTTAGCCCTTATATTTTGGTCTATGATTAATTTTGTTTTATGGTTGAGATAAGGGCCAATGTTCTTTTCTCTCTTTCTTCTTCTTTTTGCATATGGCTGTCTAATTGTCCCAACATCTTCTGTTAAACATTTACCCTCTCCCTTTGAAATGCGTTGTAATATTCATCAATTTACTAAGCTATGTGAGTCTATTTCTAGGTACACTATTCTTCCCACTCATATATTTGCATATATTTATGAAAACACCACACTGTCTTGTTTAGCACAGCACTGTAACATAGTCTATAATGTCACAGTCTTATGCTTGTTTTATATATGATGTTCAGGGTTTTTAGTTGTACTTTGAGGGAGAATGAGGGGAAAGTAGATCTACTCCATCTTCTTGGAAGTCCTGATGCATTTTTAAAAGCTGGCCTCTGGTTCCACTTTCACACACACACACACACACACACACACCAAAAAAATCAAAAACAAAAACAAAAACCCAAAACATAATAAAACAAACAAAAACAAAACAAAACAACAACACATTTCCCTATGGCACAAGGGCAGCATCCCAGGGTCCGTCAAAAGAAATGGAAAGCACGTTTGCAGTAGGAGACAGGAGGATCAGCAAGGTTTAGACTATCCCAAATCTGCCTGCTGAGACGTTATACCAGGGGCCAAAAGCTACCTCTGTTTGCTAGAAGTGCAAGATAGCTAGAAAAGAACACTGGTGCTACAGACATATTTGGGATCTAAATGTCTAAAATCTGCTTGTTCTTCTCTGCCTTCCCCCCAACTCCAACAAGCATGCAGGTCTCCACTGCTCACAAACCTTGCGGAGACTTGATTCCCTTCCTTCAATGATTTCACCTCCTCTTCCCAGGCAGAATACACCCAGTGGAAGGAAGTACCTCAACTCCCAGAACCAAATTTCCACTACCAATGGTTGTTGTGGCCACTTGGTGAATTAAAAAGAATCACCCTTTCCTCGGAGCTCTTCACTGTCAACTGCCCCAAAACAGTCCTGGGTAGGATGACACTACAGTCAATACTGCCCCGTGGATTTGTGAAATGAACAACCTGCTCAACAGCACAGATCCAGTGACTCTACCTGTGCCCACCCCCTCCCCACCCTCACCCCCCACCTTCTTTCCCAGGGTTACTACCCGAGATCGGTCCCTCCACCTGTGTTCTGCACACCCCTCTCCTCCCATCCTGTCGTCTTTGCCCTCATAAACTATTCTTGGGTGTGTGTCCATTTGGTCATGGGCTGACCAACGTTAAAAATCTCTGGCTCCTCTTCATCAATGTTTGAACAAACAGGTTTCTCCAATCTTTTAAAATAAAATTAGCATCCTCTTTCCAGCATCCTTCTCATTTCCTGGAGGGCAACTTCTTGGAAGACTGGTCTATGCTTATTTGTCTCCATTTCCTCATTATCACCCTCACCTGCTCAACTCACTCCTACCATTTAAGAAACCTGCTTTCGCTAACAGCGATACCTGTTTAGGGATGGCATTCCTTAGTCTTTGCCTCACTAATTTCTCAAGAAAACTGACCCAGTTTACAACCCTCCCCACAAGTGCTCTTCCCTTGCCTTCCGCAAGGCCACAGTCTCCTGGGTTTTCTCCTAAGGCTACCTGCTCCTCTTCTGCCTCTCCAAGTAGAGGAGCTTTGGGGGGCTGTCCTGAGTCTTTCCCAAATGGTATTCTCTCCACCAGGCAACCCCCTCCATGCTCCATTCTCACCCACCCCCACCCCCCTCCATGCACGAACCTAGGACACAGACTTTCAGCTGAGGCTTTCAATTGGAGATCCAAACAGGCACCTCCCACGATCTGCTGAGCTTCTCCACGAGACTGTCCCACAGGCTCAACAGGTCTAAAACCACACTATTTCCCCAAATCTACTTCTCCCGTGTTCCCTTCCATTATGTGGTTCCCTACCATTCACCTAGCTGTCAGCCCAGAAGCCTGGGAATCACCCAACTCCGCATATTCCACACACCCAACCCACCACCTTCCAAGTGTCTCTCTATCCCTCCCTCCTCTGGGCACCATGCCCAGGCCCTAACCCAAGTAACCAACGTCGAACAAGCCTCCGAAGATGCCGAAGACCAGCTGCGCCCAGGTACCAAGTGCTTCGTACTCCAGAGGCCTCCGCTTCGGTGTCCATCACTAGCTTTGGATGGAAAAGCGCCAGGTCGGTCCTGTTCACTGGCTCCTGGCGCATCCACAGTGCCTGGCACCAGTGAGGTCGGTAAATACGCGTTAGAACAAGAGAAAGACAACCAGAGAGAGGGTTCACCCACTCTGCGGGGCCGCGGAGCGCGTAGCCTGAGAGGTGTGAGCCCCATCCGCCACACACAACATGGCGGCGACATACACCTGCGTCCCACTTCCGCTTCCGCTGCCGAGACACGTCACTTCCTCCCCGGTTGCCCTGGAGCCCTGTGGAAGCTAAGAATGCGAGGAGTCTCTGCTCCTTTCCCCTTCCGGATTTTTGCTTCAGCTGCGGCGCAGTCTGACCGAGCAGCTTCGAGGGTCTTCCGCCAGCGGCTTGTTGGTGAGAGGGGGACCGCAGGGACGGCCTTGTGGGTGCGGGAGGGTTGTCTGGGGGGCGAGGAGGGACGGAGCCGGGGAGGTGGCTGGGAGGCAGGTCAAGAAAGTGTATGTGGCAAACCCATCCCCGAACCCTTTATTATTGGAAGTGGCAGATGCAATACAGGGGCAGAGACGATGCTTAGCAGCTAGGACTTCATCGCGGTAAAATGTGTGTGTGGGGGGGGGGAGGGCCTCAACGGCCTGGAAACCGTTTTCTTCTCCTTTAAGGCTTATTTATTAAATGGGCCCAGCCACCAGCTACACCTGCTGTCTGGTAACCTGTCCTCCTGTTTCCGAGGTCATGTCCAGCATGGGAAGGATACTTAATTGGTCTTCATCGGTGGCAGGCACCATTCTTCACACTTCTCACCCTTTATTGAAATGGCAGTGAAAACCCACCTGCGGAAAGCACTGTTAAGGGACCGAAAAGATTACAGGAGACCAGAGCTATTGACTTTTATTATTATTTTTTTAATTTTTTTTAACATTTATTTATTTTTGAGACAGAGAGACAGAGCATGAGCGGGGGAGGAGCAGAGAGAGAGGGAGACAGAATGTGAAGCAGGCTCCAGGCTCCGAGCTGTCAGCACAGAGCCCGATGCGGAGCTCGAACTCACAAACGGGGAGATCATGACCTGAGCCAAAGTCGGACGCTCAACCGACTGAGCCACCCAGGCGCCCCTGACTTTTGTTTTTAAAATGAAGATCTCTTTGGGGCGCCTGGGTGGCTCAGTCCGTTAAGCGCCCGACTTCGGCTCAGGTCGTGATCTCACAGTTCCTGAGTTCCAGCCCAGGGTCGGACTCTGTGCTGACAGCTCAGAGTCTGGGGCCTGCTTTGGATTCTGTGCCTCCCTCTCTTTCTGCCCCTTGTCCGCTCACACTCTGTCTCTCAAAAATAAATAAACGTTGAAAAAAAATTAAAATAAAATGAAGATCTCTTTTACTTGAAGAAACTGAAGGATCTTGGCATCCTAGGATGTGCTGTGAGCTGGAAAACAGTAGAATTTTTGCCAGGGACTGGAAGAAAGATGGTCACCAAATAAGTATTCCCTGACTTGCAGACCGAGTGAGCACAGCCAGGATCTTCTTCAGCAGCCGCCTTGGCATTGGAACAGGCTGCAGTTCGCCACTCTTCAACCCAGTCCTCACCTCTCCACATTCAGTTTTGATTTGTTGCTTAGGCGGTTTCTGGCCTGATCGGTTTTGGGTTTTGTTTTTGGCAGGTGCAGTGGAATCCCCCAGGGAGCTGAGCAGTTCGTGGAATCTTCTTACCGGTACAGCTTTCACTGTTGCTTGTGTTACAGTGTGAGGTAAAGGCGAGAAGACATTTCTCGAGCGCGCTGCTTACCTGCAACTTGACTCCTGAAGGTCATGAGAGGCAGGTTTGCCCAGTTGTTGTGCGCAGCATAGGGAGGACGTTTCATCTGACAACAGGAATGTAGCTTTTATGCTAATAAAATGCTTTTAAAATTAGGGTGTGGTTTTTAGTAATTAGCATAGAATTTTAGTGATCCGTTGGTTCATAACCAATAGGCTACTTAGGTACCCCCCTGAGTCATTTATCCAAATGGATGTTCTGCTAAATTGTATTTGTGGGCATTGATCAGAGCTAATGGGAGAAAGAGATTAAGATGAAAATCATGGGATTAAATTTTTAATTAGTTGGCCCCCCCGAACAGTTGTTCGGGGCGACACAGTGGCTGACTGGCGACGTGTGCCCACCCAGGAAGGATGTGGCCCTACACCCAACCTTCTGAACGTAAGAGTGTTTTACAAAAGACTGAATATTTTGTTCAGTTATCTTCTTCTTTATTCCTGCTTAGCAAGGAATTGAAAAGGAAGGCCATGTGTGGGATCTCACGGTCCTTTGTCCGGTGATAGATAGAGAGAGAGAGAGAGAGAGAGAGAGAGAGAGAGAGAATGGGATGAGGGCTTCAGTCAGCTCATTAATAAATATCTCAAACTTCTGCCAAGTTTGGGCCGGCCTTTGGGCCTTTGCACTAGTCATTCCCTTCGCCTGGAACCCTCAGGTGTTTGCAGGGCCGGATCGCCCTTGTCTACATCCAAGCTTAAAAGTTACCTCCTCAGGAAGGTCCTGCCTTCACCACCCGGACAACGGTAACCTCCCATCACTCCCGTTCACACCATCCTGATTTGCTTTCATCACAACACTCCTCATTATTGCTGTTTTCTTGTATCTTTGTTTGCTGATTGTCTCCCTCTACTAATATGTGAATTCCGTGAAAGCAAAGCTCTTGTCTTTGTTGTGTGTAATTGTATCCCCAGAGCCGCGTTCGTCTCCAATGCCTGAATGAATGCGTGAATGAATGGATTCTGTCCATTACCCTCTCATCTCAGATGCACGGAGGCAGGAAGACTGGGAAGGGTCAGGGGACTAAACAGCACATAGAAGAGACCCTAAGACATGAGACACGGGCAGGGACACAGGACGGAGAGAGGCCGGAGAAAATGGGTGGGGTGGGAAGCAAGGGGACCGGAAACGATGTCGCGCAAATCTACAGACACATTCTAGAAATCCCAACACTTGCACAAGCGCGCACACACACTCACACACACAGTCCGGCCTGAAAGAATAGTGGCTCTCAATGTTTGCTCTGTACCTGACTCTCACAGAACACTCTTCCGGGTAGAGGTGCTCAGGCTTCAGCGTCAGCAGCGTGTGATTCGGAACTCTCGGTGGAGCCCCCGTGTCTGCTGCTGCTTAATCCTCATAAGCCGGTCTCAGTCTTGGTCAGGACAGTAAGGGTGCGGTAAATGCTAGCAGCTTGGAGGAGGCAGCGTGGCCTCCTGTGGCGGTTCTGTGAACCTCACTCCACGGGCTGAGCCTGAGCCCCGGCATTCTACCACTATAAGGTGGAAGCCTTCCTCGGACTCCAGTATAACTTGGAAAGTCCCACTTACCTGAAGTCGGGCACGTGGGGTCCCCTCCTCCCTGAGGAGCGAGGGGCCCCTTTTGTACCTTGAAACCTTGCACCTGAGGCCTACATCCCGGTATGGCAGCTCTACTGACATGCCATATTTTGTCTGAAAAAGCACTTTGCCATATTATGCCGCCGAATGTTTATCTTGCTAACCAGCGAAACTGCCAGGAGCAAATTCCGCTGCTGTGAGACTGAGCCGAGGTGGCTCAGACCCTATTCCCTTACTGTAGGTTGAATTTGAGGGGATGGAGGGGGCAGGAGAGAAAGTGGCTGTACCCTGGGTGCTCAGGTTTAAAAAAGATGGGCAGAAACGGGGTCCAGACTTTAATCCTTCCATAAATCTTTCTCACCCCCAGGTGGTCGGTAGAATTCTTGGGACTGGCCTTCTCTCTTCATGCACCCCTCGAGGGGTCAGACCTTTTTTGAATCCTTTTCCCCTTTGACTTTTTTTTGTTTGTTTGTTTTTTTGGCTGAAACGCAAGCTTAATGAGATGCATCCAGGGTCCCGCGCCGCCTGTAGATTTCGTGTCTCCTTAGCCTCCTCTAGTCTGTGACCGCTCCTCGTTATTTCCTCGTCTTGCACGACCTTGACACTTCTGAAGAGTTCCCGCCAGTTGTTTTGTAGACTGTCCTTTGATTTGGATTTGTCTGATGTTTCCTCACGATCAGCCTAAGGTTTTGAAGTTTCTGCAAGAAAACCACCGAAGTGATATGTCCTCCTCAGGGTACCATGTCAGGTGCCGTGTGTAATGCGGATGCGTTTTATTTCTGGTGAGGTTAATCTTGATCACTTGCTTAGAGGTGGTGTCTCTCAGGCTTCTCACTCTGGAGAATTCCAGTTGTAGTTCATATACTTTGGCGGGGGGCGGGGGGGGGAGATGCTGTAAGATTCCCTTGACGTTGTTCGTAACCAGATTTTCCTTCTGTGTGTATGTCGGCACGGAGGTGGGGCCAGGCAGTGTGTTTTGTTCGGTGTACGTCCCAAGAACAGATCGGAGCTTGCCACGATTATGCGGCACAAAATCGGAGCCGAAGAAATCGTTGCCCCTATAAGAAAGCGGTGTGGCTACATCCTGATATACACGAAGGAAGATGTGATACGGCGTATTTCTGTTGTGTATGGGGATGTGCGTGTGGTGTTGATTAAATGCAGTCCTTTTCGCCCCCGAGTTCATTCAGCAAATGTGCATTAATAAAGGCTCACATTTGTCAAGTGTCTCCCGTTTGCCAGGCGCTGTACTAGGCTGAGCATCCATTCCCTTGGTTCATACTCACAACATTTTAATAGATGTTATTACCGAGCTTACAGGAAAGGAGACAGAGGCTTAAGGAAATGACTTGCTCAAAGGCAAGTGGCAGAACTGGGACTTGAGCCCAGGCCTGTCTAACTCAGAAGCGTGTGCCATTTCCATAGCACCAAACTTGCCCTCCCTACAATGCACCGGGCACCGCGATCGGTGCCGAGGGTACAGAGTGTCAGATACAAGTTTGAGAAGAGCTCCTCCTGTCGCATGGTGGGGGGGCCTTTGGGAGAGGCGCGAAGGCCTGGGGATGAACCTTTGCTCACAGAAGTCGTCCGTTCGTGCTGAGCGGCAGCGCCTCTGCCTTGAGAGTCGCCAAGCCTTTTCGCCGGGCCTTTACTGAGACCTTCGGCTACAGGTAGTTAACCAGAGAAGGGAACTGAGGCTGGTGGCCGGCTTGCTCTGCGTGTTGCCGGCCATTGTGTCACCTCAGCCACCCTGGGAAGTGGGTGTATTATGTCCACTGAGCTCATGAGAAAACCAAGGCTCAAAGGGGCTACACAGGATGCCAGTGTCTCCAGCTAGTAAGTAGCTAGCCTGGAGTTGGATCCCGGATCCGACTGATTCTAAAGCATATGCTTGGTCTCCAGTACCCTTTGATGTTGCAGGGAGTGCAGACTCGGGCATCCTCACCGATGATGGCACTTTGTGCCTGCTGTCTTCTCATCTGTAGAAAGGATGATCATGTTTATGTCATGCCTGATGGATGCTCACAGCAGTTCATTTGTAGCAAGTGTCAGGGTTTTGTTTTTTGGGTTTTTTTTGGTTTTTGGGTTTTTTTTTGGTTTTGGGTTTTTGTTTTTGTTTTTGTTTTGTTTTGTTGTGTTTTGCCTCAAACCAAAAGATCTTTGCACGGCTTTTGCTTTTTTTAACCGCCTCCTCCCACCGTCAATCCATGTCAACAGAAGGAAATTGGAAAGTGACGATTCTGAATCATTTGCGACATCTAAAAACGCTACCGTAGAAACAAGCGTGCTTCCCTAAGAGATACGGCATATGGCAAGTCAAGTCTCCTGTTCCCTGGCTTTTGATGAGAGAGTTCGGTTCCTTCTGGAGTCAATGCTTAACAAATGGCATTTGATGCTGCTGCTAATAGTCCGTGGCCTTCATGTCGTAGGGCATTCGCCGAACTGCCCGGTGAAGGAGGCGACGGAAAAGGGCTGTCATTCTCCGGCCTCTTCCATTTTGCCACCTCCCTGGCTCTGGACCATTGTTCTTTCTGTTCCTTGTTGGTTTTGAAAATATAAAAGCAAAGCAAAGCTGCCCTCAGTGCCTAAAAAGAAAAGGAAGACTGATTATTAGCAGGCCCGGGGAGTAGGATGGGGGACCAGCTGGCACTCTGGTTTATTACAGTTACTCCATTTTGTCCCCGCTCTATGTGACTGAGGCTCATTGATCGTCTTGACTCTGCTACTGTTGTTTTAGAGGTAGTGAGAAGGACCAGAAAAGGAGACTAGCGGTGGCTGTGAAGAAGAGTGGGTAGAAGGAATTGGAAGATGTTCTCGTTTGTCCCATCTCAGTTTGGACGGCCCCAGAAACCTGAGGCAAGGTTTCGAGTGTAAGTAATGCTCTTGGGAGGTACTGGAACCAGCAGTAGGGAATTAGGGAGAATGAGCTGGGATGGGGAAAAGGCCAACAAAGGGTGTTATCAAGCTGGCGGGTACTATGGGAGACTGGAGCTTAAAAATCCCACTGGTGAAGCCTAGCAAACCGTGGTGTAAAAGCACACGTCAGAATTATCCAGTGCTCCCCCGCTCCACTCAGAGGAGGGAGCTGGGGCGTTTATTCACCAACTTCGCTTTGTCAGGGATCGAGGGCGGCTCCCATGAGCTGTGCTGGGCACACCAAGTGGTTTCTGCAGCTTGGGAGGAAGCTCTCAGGCAAAGAGAGCTGCAGACGATGACCACTGGAGGTCAGCCCGTGTGCCCTGATGTGGTAAGACCGGAGTGGGAAGGCTGGGTCAATGGCATCTCTAACATCCCCCTAAAACAAAACAGAACAAAATACCCACTGCTCCCCGAGTGTCCCCCATATCATTAAGTAGCACCACAATTTACCCAGTTTCCC